CAAATATCTACTTTTGAGTTAAAAACACCTACTTTTAGGTATAGCTGGCTTATCCTAAAACACAACACCTCTAAATGCTGTCATAACAGGACTAAATATAAGGATTTCCAGCTAAGTGTAAAAAGGCATTATATCTCAAATTGCTTAAATTAATCCTTGTAATCTTGTTTCAAGTACAAGACAGTCTTAAATCTAGAGAAGTGCCGCATAATACAACTCAAAATAAGTTGAATATATCTCAAATAGAGAAGTTGAGATGAAAGTTATTAAAGCAAAAATCTAGTTTTGAGTGAAAAAATACTATTTTTTTTAGCATTTGTGGCTTATTCCAAGACACCAAGCTTGAAAATACTGGTAAAATATAGCTTAAAATAAGTTTTACCTGCTAATTTCAAGATCTCAATATTCTAAATATCACGTCTTATTTTAAGAAATCTTACCAAGCTAATTTTCACTTGATCTATTGGCAGATTTTTTCACTTATTTCAAGGTAAAAGTACCTTGAAGTAAGTTTTTTTTTCTTGTTTTGAGAAGGGCATTTTTTCCAGTGTGGATTGATTTAAAATTCAAAAACTGTAGAAAAAACTCTGAGACGCAGCAAATCTCTGTAAAACTGTGATATTTTTAGCTCATTTAAATACAGAAAAACCATGTAATTTTCACACTCACATTGTAAACGAGTAAATTACTGTTTATAAAAAGATATATACACGAGTACATCTGATATTTTATAGATTCTCACATGTGTGGACGTTCAGATTGTGGATAATGTACATAATATTGCACGGGGTTGTTTTGTATGTAGAAAAAAAAGCAAAAACTCACATCTCTGCTTCATCATTATTCACAGCAATAAACTTAAACCTGAACCTGAACCTGAACCTGAACCTGAACCCAGCTGTGTGTCCCTTAAAAGCAACAACTCCAAGAATATAATCATCGAGTTTAAAGATGGACAGTCTTCTGCTGCAGAGACGTAAGCTGCATCTACATGTGTCTCACCCTATTTTCTAGCATTAGATTAGATCTACAGTGTTGAACAGTTTACCAGCACATAAAGTCATCTGATTACAGCCACGATCTGTTTGTGGAGCTTTAGCTTGTGTTGCGCTGTGAGCTAACTGTTCTTGTTTTGTCCACAGACTCGATGAGGAGAGCTCAGAGGTTCCCAGTGTTCAGCCTGACCAGCAGCATCACCTGAACTCCATCTTTATGGTGTGTACATGTACAACAACCGCTTTTCAATCTGTTCTGTTCAGTCGTCTCATTCATGTGTTTCTTCGTTCCAGCTGCTGGAGAACGACATCGGAACTTTTGTGAAGGACGAGCTGAAGAAGATGCAGAAGGTTCTGAGTCCGGATTACCCACAAAGCTCGGAGAGCCAGAGGGAGGATGAGGAGGGTGAAGATGAAGAGCAGAGGATCAGCAGAGAGGCATTTCTGACAATCACCCTGCACTTCCTGAGGAGGAGGAAGCAGGAGAACGTGGCCGACTTTCTGCAGAGCAGTAAGATGATTTCTGTAAAGATTCAGGGCGGGGAAATAAAATGATCTCAGTAATTACCTCATCTGCACAATTACACCACCAGAGGCTACTGCAACCCGATTATGTTGCTGATAGTTGGGCTAATTAAAGGAAAAATACGCACACATTGTTGGGAGAAGTAAAAACAAGTGACTGTGAGAAGAGTTAGACTTCTCCAGAACATAATGAAATAGATGCAAGTAGCAGACATACAATGTCAATGACTGGAAATATTGGATAAACAGCTGAGTTCTGCAGTGGCCTGTGCAGACAGAGCTGAGACATGTTTTTCCTGTTAATCATTAACATCCCTAGCTGAAAGTCCAACATGCATATATGATGAAGACATTCAAGCCATTTAGAGACTATTTATACAGCGACTTTTACAGAAGTGGATTAAAAGCCTATTCTAATAGGGTAACGGAGTTGTAGGCCCGAACACCTTGTGTTTTTAGTGTGTCATTCCACACCTGTGTGGAGAGGAGCCATCTTGGTTCGAACCTTCTTGAACCTAGTATGATGGGTTTGTCATGAGGGGACTAGGCTTGGCGTAGATTGACAGAAGAAACCTAGACTTGACGTCCAAATTTCAAGGCAGAAGTCTGAGGTAGGCATTGATCAGCTGTGGAAGAGTTCTGGGCTTGGCATTGATTGAGCCAGGAAAGGCCTGGGTTTAGCTTGAAACAAAAATGGAAGAGTCCTGGGCTTGCCATCGAGTGAGAGTGGAAGAAGCTTGAGTTTGGTGTCTTACGTGCATGGAAGGGCTTAGTGTCCTAAGTCCATGGAAGAAACCTGGGCTTGGCATCAAAAGTCCATGGAAGAAGCCTCGGCTTGTGTAAGTCAACCATGGAAGAGGTGTGAGGTTGCGTCAGTTGGCTGTTGATGAGGCCTGTTTGTGGCATAGATCAACCATGAAAAAAGCCTGGACTTAATGTCAAAAGTCAGCGAAAGAAGCCTGGGTTTGGCCTCACTCACCTGTGGAAGAGCCCCGGACTCATTGTCAGTGGACTGTGGAAGAGACCTGGGCTTGGCATTGCCAGATCCTGGAATTGATGTCAAAAAAACGTTTAAGAAGCCTTGGCTTGGCGTTGACCAACACTGGACGAGGTCTGGGTTTGGCACCGTAAGTCAGTAGAAGAAGCCTCAGGTCAACGTTCAGTTGATTAGTTTTGGTAAGAGGCCTGGATCTGGTGCTGGTCAGCTGTCAAAGAGACCTGGGTTTGGCGTTGTAAGTCTGTGGAAGAGGCCTGGGTTTGGCATTGATCAGTCATGGTAAGAGGCCTGGGATTGTTGTCCATCGACCGTGGAAGAGGTGTGGGTTTGCCGTTGAAAGTCCTTGAAAGAGGCCTGGCTTTGGCATTGGTCAACTGTGGAATATGCCTGAGCTTGGCATTGAAAGTCCATGGAAGAAGAATGGGCCTGGTGTGGGCTGGCCGGTTCAAGAACAAACCTGGGAACAAGATAGGATTCAGCCAGCCCAGAAACAGACTTGGATACAGGTAGAGTGTCAGTTAAGTCAGGACCATACTCAAGATCAGGCAGTGCAGTGACCAGCCTAGAAACAGATATGGTCCACTAAACTTCTCCATACTTGTTCAGTCTATACTGGAGGAGCCATGTCTGCTTTAGGCTGTGGAGTACGAGATCGTCTAAGTAAATCTTTAACAAACCTTCCACACAATGCATCTGATTACTATGTCCGTTCTTATTTTTACATTAACCACCATTCTCTTGTTCATGATCAATAAACAGTTGTGTACATCTCATGGGTGTGGTCTTATAGTTATGAAATTAAACTTTATTGTTTTTTTTAAGAAAGTTGAATTGTTATATTTGATAAAACTATTTCATCTTGTCTTCATTTAGGAACTCGTGCTGGCAATTGTCAACGTGAACTTAAATCTACTCTGAAGAAAAAGTTCCAGCATGTGTTTGAAGGCATCGCTAAAGCAGGAAACCCAACCCTCCTCAGTGAGATCTACACAGAGCTGCACATCACAGAGGGAGGGACTGCAGAGGTCAACGAAGAACATGAGGTCAGACAGATTGAAGCAGCATCCAGGAAACCAAACAGAGCAGAAACAACCATCAAACCAGAAGACATCTTTAAAGGTGCAGCAGGAAAAGATCGACCAATCAGAAGCGTGATGACAAAGGGAGTGGCTGGCATCGGGAAAACAGTGTTAACACAGAAGTTCACTCTGGACTGGGCTGAAGACAGAACCAACCAGGACATCCACTTCATGTTTCCATTCACTTTCAGAGAGCTGAATGTGCTGAAAGAGAGAAAGTTCAGTTTGGTGGAACTTGTTCATCACTTCTTCAGTGAAACCAAAGCAGCAGGAATCTGCAGGTTTGAAGACTTCCAGGTTGTGTTCATCTTTGACGGTCTGGATGAGTGTCGCCTTCCTCTGGACTTCCACAACAATGAGATCCTGACTGATGTGACAGAGTCCACCTCAGTAGATGTGCTGCTGACAAACCTGATGAGGGGGAAGCTGCTTCCCTCTGCTCGCCTCTGGATAACCACACGACCTGCAGCAGCCAATCAGATCCCTTCTAGATTTGTTGACATGATGACGGAGGTCAGGGGGTTCACCGATCCACAGAAGGAAGAGTACTTTGGGAAAAGATTCAGAGACGAGCAGCAGGCCAGCAACATCATCTCCCACATCGAGACTTCCCGAAGCCTCCACATCATGTGCCACATCCCAGTGTTCTGCTGGATCACTGCTACAGTTCTGGAAGACATGTTGAAAACCGTAGAGGGAGGAGAGCTGCCCAGCACCCTGACTGAGATGTACATCCACTTTCTGGTGGTTCAGACCAAACTGAAGAAGGTCAAGTATGATGGAGGAGCTGAGACAGATCCACACTGGAGTCCAGAGAGCAGGAAAATAATTGTGTCTCTGGGAAAACTGGCTTTTGAGCAGCTGCAGAAAGGAAACCTGATCTTCTACGAGTCCGACCTGACAGAGTGTGGCATCGATGTGAGAGCAGCCTCAACATACTCAGGAGTGTTCACACAGATCTTTAAAGAAGAGAGAGGACTGTACCAGGACAAGGTGTTCTGCTTCATCCATCTAAGCGTTCAGGAGTTTCTGGCTGCTTTTCATGTCCATCTGACCTTCATCAACTCTGGTGTTGATCTGCTGGAAGAAGAACAAACACTACTCTGGAAGTCTGAAACAAGAGAAGACGAATCTGCAGAGACAGACATCTACAGGAGTGCTGTGGACAAGGCCTTGCAAAGTCCAGATGGACATCTGGACTTGTTCCTCCGCTTCCTTGTGGGTCTTTCACTGCAGACCAATCAGAAGCTATTACGAGGCCTGCTGAGAGAGACGGCAAATACTTCAGAAACCAATCAGGAAACAGTTAAATATATCAAGAAGAAGCTCAATCAGAATCTGTCTGCAGAAAGAAGCATCAATCTGTTCCACTGTCTGAATGAGCTGAATGATCGTTCTCTAGTAGAGGAGATCCAACAGTCCCTGAAATCAGGAAATCTTTCCCCAGATAAACTGTCTCCTGGTCAGTGGTCGGCTCTGGCCTTCATCTTACTGTCATCAGAAGAAAATCTGGATGTATTCGACCTGAAGAAATACTCTGCTTCAGAGGAGGCTCTTCTGAGGCTGCTGCCGGTGGTCAAAACCTCAAAGAAAGCCCTGTGAGTACACACCTATGTGGATTTATTTATTGTTATACTGTGTGGTAATATTACTATCTTTTGAAAGAGAAGAGAAAAATGAAGGACTCTCCAATTAATAAATATTCTTTTGTTTTTTTCTTCAGGCTGGGTTTGTGTAACCTCTCAGAGAGAAGCTGTGAAGCTCTGTCCTCAGTTCTCAGCTCTCAGTCCTCCAGTCTGACAGAACTGGACCTGAGCAACAACAACCTNTTAGAAATATTTTACTGTGTTTTTTCTTTTAAAATTACTCACGTCAGGAATTCAGTTATCAAAATAGTTGGAGGTTAATAGTTGACAGCTGATCGATTAATTGGCTCATTGCTACAGTTCTAGTGTTCACAGTTTGTTGCTGATCGCTGCTAATTTTTCCAGCAGTTTATGTGGCTGAAGACAACAAGGTGACTTTTCTTCTCTGTCTAACAGGGATACCGGCCTCTGGTAAACCTGGACCAGAACTTGGACATGAACCTGGACCCAGCTGTGTGTCCTTTAAGAGCCACCAGTCAATGGGTGGCATCATTGATTTTACAGGACGACAATGAATGTGCCGCCCGTTACCCGCTGTGATTGGACCCAGACAGCAGGAGACTTCTTAGAGGGTTTGATTTTAATATGAAAGTGAATACAATATATGTTTAACGTACAATGCGTCCGAATACTGTTTGTCAGCAGTGTTGGTGCTTTTCTTCCTCCTGTGTCATGGTTTGTGAGACATAATTAAGTTTCACGCACTTCTGTCGTTGCCACTGATCCAGATAAAAGCAGCTGTTGATGCAT